CATAGCAACATGGGTATCACAGCATCATCAGTATCACACCAACAAAAAAAAAGGAGCCAGGAAGTAGGAAATAACAGGGAGGGTAGCTATCCGTGACAAATCATTTACAATCTTCCAATACACTACACTGTGAGCTCTTTCTTCTTCCTCTGGAAGCCCAAATTCATCCATGACACTCTGCATTACTGACAGCATTGCTACTGTAAAACCATTCCTGCTGTTTCTATAGCATGAAATTATAATCAGAAATAACTATACGACTGCTGTGTCAGAGCAAGACCAAAGATGCAAGTTGCCACAAAAGACCTTTGTTCAGTTGGTTTTTGTTTGTTTGATTTTGAGATAGAGTCTCATGTAGCCCAAGCTAGTCTTAAACATACTAAGTAGCCAAGGGTAGCTTTGAACTCCTGATCCTCTCATGTGCTGTACCTTCAAGGGCAGCCCAAGAAGATATCACATCTAACTTCTACTAATGTTAAATTACCACAACTAATTTTCCTGACATCTGACAAAATTTTGTTTTACCTCAATCCAATTTAGGCATATCTATGACCATATAAAACACTCCCAGAAAGGTTAAACAGATCTTTAAATGTGCATACAGTTTTTGTATTGGGTATTATATTTTTTAAAATCAAAATGGAAAGAATTAAACTTTGAAAGCATTACAAAAGCATGTTTGCATGTTATTTAGACAAATACTCTTCATTTGACAATAGAGAAAAATGAAGCCTAATAATGTTATTTATTAGGCTAGTGTCAATGCATAGAAATCATATTTTCTCCTGTATATCTTACATGGACATTGGGTATATTCTTTCTGCAGTAAAAAGTATTTTGTAGCTGGGAAGGAAGAGAGAAAAGGTGGTAAGTTGAAAAATGGAGTGGGAAAGTGAAGTTCCCACAGTAAGAAGAAAGGCTGGCCAGCCACTCAGCATCTCTTAGCCTTCTTACTTAGTGACTGACATGAGGAGGCTCAGCCCCTCATGGGCGAGACTTCCCCCGGCTAGTGGTCATGGGATCTACAAAAAAGCAGGCTGAGCAAGCTTTAAGGAGCAAGCCAGAATGCAGCATGACCTCTGCATTAGCTCTGTACTGCGTGAGTTCCTGCCCTGACTTCCTTCAGTGATGGACAACCGATGTGGAAGCATAGGCCAGGTAAACCCTTTCCTCCACAGGCTGTTTTTAGTTATGATGTACAATGCAGTGCAAACCTAGGCCAGCAGACACACACACACACACACTATATATATATATTAAACACCAATTATCCCATGATAATTTTTTAACACATAATATACCTACATAATGGTGAGGTGGGAGGGGAATGGAAAACAAACATCAAATCAGTACTTTTCTGGTTTAGTTGAGAATTAAGTTCTCCTGGGGTCATTTTAAAACTCATTTTCCAAGCACATAGCCTAAACATATTAAAGTACAGTATGCTTAGGTAAGGACATTCTTTGAAGACTGGTGTTTTTTATAAAGAACCTCTAGACAGTTTGATAGATAGCTTCCAAGATCATTACTACACTGGGCAGTTCAGTGACCTAGAACCCTAAGGGCTTGGGGACATGAGGAAGCCTTGGGTGTCTTAATGAATGATTAAAGTTTTCTTTTAAATAGATCTTTAATGCAACCAATACATTTTTCATATACCCCTCTGATCCAAAATGTGAATATGAAAGATGAAAAGCCAAATTAGAACGTCGGTCCAAATCAATAAATAAATCATGCCGTGGGGGAAGTACTTCTCACAGTTAATGACCTGGCAATGTGAAAAGAAAACGAAGTATGTTCTGAAAGGTGTGGACTTGCTCATGTGTCTCAATCATCCTTAACGGTGCTGCGAGTCACAACAACCAAGTTAGTAGCAAAGTCCTGAACATGTCAAAGAGCTAGAAGGGAGGGCTTGGAATGTTTCAATGAAAAGAAATAATAGATGCCTGAGACAAGGGGAATGCTAATGACTGGGCTGTGTTCGTGCAGCCAAAACTAACATGGCGTCGCCAGTCATTTGCACAATTATCATGTGTCAATTAAAAATAAGAGAACTGAGAAGTCATTTCATACTGTGAGTATCTCCATCTCATCCACTTCCCAGAAGCTCATCTGAGCCTCTGTCTCTCTGTTGGCACACAACACCACCCAAGCAAAAGTCTCTCCCTGAGAATGTCTGCATCAAGAGTAACAGCCAACGAGAGAAAGGAGACAAAATTTCTGTTGTAGACACCTGAGAAAATGTCTGGGTGTATGGTTACAACCTTGAAAAACAATGATCCCACTAACGGAGTTGTATGGAAAATTCTAGAAATTAACCTTAGCTCCCAGATTCACTCTTGGCTGACAACGTACCCCAGCTGACAAGATCATGGTTGTAGCTGAACAGCAGTTCAGAGTATTGGAAGCAGGAGGCTGTACGGTTATGGCGAGGCTCAAGCACAGCCAGGGTTTGAGTAGGTCAAGTTAGCATGAGCTTAAGTCAGTTCCAGGTGGGGGCAATAGACGTTCTTCCTTCCTAATAGGCTGAACAAACTCAGTTAATTGTCTTAGAGCCTTAACACAGTGTTTATGTGAACATGTGTGGACATGTATGAGCACGTACATACAGCTCACAGGAAGGAGTCACAAGCAAGGTACACTCCCCATCCTAGTTGCCATTGTTCTAAAGAACTACAAATAATGTTTGTTTTTTAAATGACAACAACAACAGCAGAAAAAAAAAAAGAGGCCCCTGCTCCCACAGGAAAAGGAAAATTTAAACTTACTACCAACCTGTAGAAAGATTTGAACCTGCAGCACACCATTTTAGTGAAAAGGTATTCAGGTAGCATCATTTTACTCTCGACAGCTGTACAGTGGGACTGGAGAGATGGCTCGTTGTCTATGAACACTGGCTGCCCTTCCAGAGGACCTGCGTTTGATTCCCAGCACCCACATGGTACCTCACAACCGTCTGTAACTCTAGCTCCAGAGAATCTGATGCCCTCTACTGGCCTTCACAGGTATCACACACATCTGGGGGGAGGGGTGTTATATATGTACATTTAAGCAATACAGTCATATACGTATAATAAAAATGAATAAATATTAAAAGTAATAATCTCCTTAATAATCCTTGTGTTATTTTCTTCTGCTTCAAAAGGACAACTCACTGTATCAATTGCTCTATTCAACTTACTGACCATGTAAGCTTTTACATGTCTTGTAATTCGTCCTTTCTCCAAGTGTCTCTATCCCTAAAATATGTAAAGAGTAAAGAGAAATAAATATTTCAAGACCAAGGTGGGCAAAAGTTGTCTCACATTGTCGAAATGGATTTTCACAGCAATGTCCCACCTGTAAGGTAACCTTGTAACCCAAGCAAAAACTCCAACCCCACATTCCTGCTTCTCTGGTGCCAGGCCCTCCTGCCTGTGGCAGGGGATGAGGGATTGGTGACGGGAGAGAAGTTTACGACAAAAAATTGCCTCTAAACACACCTCTGTGTTTCATTGAACTGATGGGTCCATTAATGAAGTTTATATTTATTATTTATTATATAATTCAATAGCCATCTTTCTTAGAGATAGGCTCTCTCAACATTCTCTTAAAGAAAAAAGAATTACAGGATTTTAACCCAAAGAGTCCTATTTGCGCGCACACACACACACACACACACACATACACACACACACACACACACCCATACACACACATACACACACATGCGCGCACACACACATCACCATACTGATCATCCAGGATTGTCTAGTTCAACACTGTTCCTCTGATTAACACAGATCAAATACAGAGTGGCAGCAGGCACAGATCCCAGGAGACAACTCAAGTATTTATTGAAAATAATAAACGATTAACCCATTTCTGTACTAATATATAATACTGGTTAGCTTAAAGTTTCATAAGCATGCAGAGTAATTAGTACCTTAAATTTAATACAGATACAAAAAAACTTATGGGCCATATCTCCTTCCTTTCGAAATGTCCGTATGAGAACTGACAGCAGCAACTTCCCAGCGCCCAAGGTCCATAACCTGGCCAGCTCCCACCTCCAAGGCCTCTCATTCCACATTTGCTCAGTTTTCACACTATTTATAATTCTGACTTTACTTCCTCCTACAGGTCCCTCTCCATTCTGAGGGGCATTTTTCTGGCTTGAAGAACGCCCTCCTCACCCTCTTCACGGATGCAGAAATACTCTCAGGGCAACTGCACCCCCCACCTTGTTACCTATTGGCTCACTATGGAAAAACCCTGAATCCCAAACAGATCAATTTTACAACTCTCAGTACACAATGTATTCATGGTTAAACTCCCCATAATCCAATACTCTACAGTCTGGCTGCATCCACATCTCTGGCTCCAATCTTATTGCCTTTTTTCCTTGTCATTCACGATCCAGTTCAGAGGCTGTTTAGTTTCCCCAGCTCTGTGCCTTTGCTGGACAGATCTCATGACCTAGTGGAGCCTTCCCCTCTGCTTTTCCCACATAACAATCCTGAAAATCCTTTAAAATGACTTCTCCACAAGGACATTCCCCCCTCCCCGGCCCCCGCCAACCTGAAACTGGGAGAGTTAGTTTCCTCCTTTGATGAGCGAGACCACTCTCCTTGCACATATTTTGCAAATTAACAGACTCAACTCTGGGTGTGGTGGGCCTTTAATGTCTTCTACCAACTTTAAGCATTGAGTGGCCACAATGATAGCATCCTTCGTATACTCTGAGTTCAAAGACCTTTCGATTCAATTGGCATGACACTGTGAAGGCCACTGAAGAAGCAGACCCCCTCCGCTGCATTGCTTAGGCAATCTGGGGGTTTACACACAACTAAATGATATAAAATGTTTCCTTGAACTACAGAGCTAAACAATGAGAAGAAAGACCTCCTTTATCCTTAAAGCACTTCAGGCAGATAGCATCCGGCTCTCGCCATCAGTTTGCCCTCACTGAGGACAGACACACACAGGCCGCATGCCCAGCCACTCCCTGGGCATCTTACTTTGCAGTAGACAATCATGTTAGGAGAACTCTCTTCTGGATCAGCGATCCCCACCGCTCGCTGGTCCCCGGATCCCTGAGCCATCCTGAGTGTCTTCTCTCACACTGCAAAATAAATGGATGTACCATTAAGTCAAGAATGAACCCGTCTTTAAAAAAGAAAGCATTGAAACACAGATGAGTGTGTTTTGCCAGATATACCGGACAGTCTCTAACCTCAAAACACAAGGTCCTTGTCAGAGCCAAGTACTCTAGAGGACATCTGCTAGTCTTAATCTCCTGGCAACAGATGAATTCAATCATTTTGAAGCTGACTTTTGCCTTAATAAAGATCTATATAGTAATATATAAATATTCCATTAAGAAAATACAAATCAAGATACCAAGAAGTTACCACTTTATAGCCGCCCCAATGATAGTAATAGATAAAAGTTCAATAACAAGTATTAGCCTAGTGTTGATGACGCACACCTTTAATCCTAGCACTCTGTAGAGAGATGTCTGAGTTCGAGGCCAGCCTGGTTTACAGAGCAAGTTCCAAGGCAGCCAGGGCCACACAGAGAAACCCTGTCTTGAAAAAGAATGAATAAGCAAAAACAAAACAACAGCAAAACAGCAAGTGTTGGCAATGACGTGGGTAAAGAAGAACACTGTAGATGGCTGGTAGGGCTGTCAGCGGATACAGCCACAGCAGAAACAGGCTAGCGATCCTCAAAAATTAAATACAAAACTAGCATGTGACCTAGCAATTCCACTTCTATGTGTCTACTCCAAGACTGAAAACAAATACTCAACTACTCGTACTAAAATATCCAGAGCAGTCTTAGTCATGCTACCCAACAGGTAGGAACAACCCAACTGCCCACCAATGCATGAATGCAATATTATTCATCCATAAAAAAGAGATGAAGTTCTGATATAGGCTACAGTGTGAGTGATCCATTAAAAACAATCTGCTATATGAAAGCAACTGGCCAGGAAGAAAAATCAAGTATTGCATGGATCCATTTATATAAAATATCCAGAACAAGTAAATCCACAGAGGCAGAAAACATTGGATGGCTGCCAGCACTAGGGGGAAGCTATAATGGGGTGGTCATTTGGCAAACACAGGGTCTCCTTTGGGGACAATGAAAATATTTTGAAGTTAGGGAAAGAGGGTTATAGTTTACTATGAATTGCTAAATGCTACTAAATTCTACATTTGAAGATGAGTAATTTTTAAAATGCTTTGAAATTTATTTTTATTTCATCTGCACTGGTGTTTTGCCTGCATGTATGTCGGTGTGAGGGTGTGAGAGCCTCTGGAACTGGAGTTACAGACGGTTGTGATCTGCCATGTGGTTGCTGGGGATTGAACCCAGGTCCTCTGGAAGAACAGCCAGTGCTCTTAACTGCTGAGCTATCTCTCCAGCCCCGAAGATGAGTAATTTTACGTTACATGAACTTCGCCTGAATTAAGAAAAAGTGAATGTGTTTAATTCAAAAATTTCAAAGGAAAAAAAAACCCTGTAGAAACAATAGTAAGATAATGACATGCACATAAGATTATGGCATGCGTGTAAGACTTGGGAGTAACAAGATGAGCTCAATTGTTGTCATGACACTGCACTTGCTGTGTGAGTGCAGCACGTAGATAACATACTGGATTCTCTTCTCAGAGCCATGGGAACTTTCTCCACATTCCACCCACACTGGAGGGTGAATTCTCTCACAGGGGAGCTTCAGACAGGCTGAATGGGAAAGTAGAGTGTAAAGCCGGAGAAGTTCTTTCTAAATGTTATCACTAATCTAGGAGTCTGCCAGAGCTAGCTGCACAAATTTCATGGGCTTTCCATCAAAGAAACTTGGATAAATACCATACTGAAAAGGCCATTCGGTTCAAGAGAAGAACTCGGAAACATCCTCCCAGAAACTACACTGGTACCAAAGGTCATTCTATAAAAACAAATTAGGGTGGAAGATGGAGAAGAGGTGGGAGTCGGTAATTTATGCTAAGAATGCTATTGCCCAAAATACTCAGTGTGGAGTGGAAGCTTCTTCTACATTGTTTGACTTAGGATATGTTTTAAAGTTAGGCTGCATGAATGACAGGAGAGGTTCACCATATTCCTCCATTCTTGGTTGTGGCAGGATTGTGATGAATAGCGTGCTACAGGGAAACCCAGGTTATTATTCTAGTCAGTGACTTTTCAAATGAACAGACTGCTTCATTTTGGGACACCTACTTGCTCTTCTACCTTAATATAGAATAAAACAGGGCATGAGAAATAGAACCCAGGTCCACCATGTGCCCTCATTTATCTGTAATAAAGAGCCATGTATGATTTGTATTGCTTTCTTTAAAAATAAACACTTTCACCTTAATGAGACTTTTCCTTTCCAGACAGAAAGCAGCATTGGAATAGGAAAGTTGGTAATGACCTAGAAACTAACTTCTCAGTCTTGTGTCTTTGTCCAGGCCTTCTCTCACACCTCACCCCCCAACACACACACCACCACCACCGCCATAGAAGCATCTCTGTGAGTTCAGATAGGCCTGAAAGTTGCTGAGTAAAGACCAAGTAGTGAGTCTAGTACTCATGAGAAAAGCTGCTCTTTGGGGTGACTCTATCAGCTAGTCTTGACATTCAGACAAGATGCCTGACATTTCTACACCTGACATGACTCAATTCTAAAATAGTAATACAGCTACCTGCTGGTTCATATGTCAACAAAAGTCCAGAGAAATCTGGATGACGAGCTATGTGGGCAGGGCTTTATCACTGGACTCACTGATGACAAGCTCACAGAGCTGGGGAACTAGGCCTTCTCTCATTACAATATGATTACAGTATTTCTTCTCAGTGAAGACAATGGTAATAAAAAAAAAATGGCAACAAAGGGTGTCTGTGAGGGCTTGTGTGCACCTGGGTGTGCGTGTGGGCAGGCTTATATGCATGTACAGATCAGACAACCCGGTGTATCACTCCACTTTTTTCTAAGATGGGTCTTTCCAGGATTAGAACTCACCAAGTAGGCAAGGCTGTCTGGCATGAGTTACTTGCTATATCCCTGAAATCTGAAACAGGGGGAGCCTGGCACAGAGTATGCACCCACATATTTTTTGAATGAATGATAAAGCTGACAAGAGTCTGCCAAAATACAGTGAGCCCTTTATGAGCCATTGTGTGGAGAGTACACTACTATAACTGCTGATAGCCAGGCTTAATGGCAGCCATCTGTAATCCAGCAGAGGCAGAAGGATCATGAGTTAGAGGCCAGTCTGGGCTACACAGCCAGTTCAAATCAGTTTGGACTTCAGAGAGAAGTCCCATCTTTAAAAAATATAATGTTCAATATATTAAGACTCGTGTGTGGAATTCCCCCACAGGGCTTACTGATATGAGCCAGTTTGAGGCCAGGAATCTCACGCTAGAACGTGCAAACAATCTAGCTGAGAAGAAATGAATGAGTAGGAAGACTGGTAAGGAGAGACGCAGGACTAACAGGACAATTGGGTGTCTGTGATACACATTGATTGAAGATCTTTTGAAATTCAGCATTGGGCCTGCCATTCAGTCTAAACTTAAATTGCCTTTATAACTTGAAGTTACAAGAAGTGCTTATTGATTCCAGCCCTTCTGGAATAAGCAAAGCCTAGGGTTCAGAACACACACACACACACACAGAGGGAGGAAGAGAGAGGTGAAGGGGGAGGGGAGGGGAAGGGAGAGGGAGAGAGAGAGGGAGGGGGAGGGAAAGGGAGCGAGAGAGGGGGAGAGAGAGAGCGAAAGAGAGGCGGAGAGGGAGGGAGAGAGAGAGGG